TTTCATCCGCGAAATATAATATATTATTCCATTCTCAGGAACGTATAGCACCTGTTTCGACACCAAATCGTAAATCTCTTCCCACCCGACGAAGTAGCGCTGGATTTCGTGAGTAAATCACATAGCATTTGCTATTTGACAAAAAACTGTTACATAATTAAATTTAATCAAATATGTTTAAACTTACTATATAATTATTATAATTATTATTGTTAGTATGCACAATATGTATTTAATTATAAATATTAAATTATAAATAGTACATTTTCCATACCTTTTTATTATAATTTACAGAAAGGCGGAGTTTAAGGAAATCATCGAAAGAACCGGAAAAATATCCGAAAATATTGGAACCTGCGGAAAAACCGGTATACATATATGTTTAATTATTGAAAATATTAAAAATGTTTTTCTATATTTATATTTTTACGCAGATTGTAGAAATGATATCTCCGCTTGAAACGATATCTCCGCAAGAAAGCAACAACCGTGCATTACCTATTCCAGCTGAATCTGCAGGACCTCAGGACGAAATTGTCTTGTATGAAACGGTGGAATGAGAGAGAGGATAAGCTAAATAACATAAAAATATACTCAGTATAAAGAAAATTTGTATAATCAACAAAACTTAATTGTCACTTTTAGATTTTTCTCTTTAAAACAATATGTATTATATAATTTTGTAAACCCTTTCATAAAATTTTCATTTTACTTAAAAAAACTTACTTTTTAGAATTATCCAAATGAAAATAGAACTGCGATCGACACGGTCAAAGTGGAGTTATTAAATATTTTATTATTAAGAGAGATTTCCAGAGTACACAAGACTATCTAGTGAAGTCGATTCGGAACATTGGTGGTCTGCTTGCTGAAACAAAAATATTAAATCGCACTTCACGTTACGGTCGCACGAGACCGCGTCAATATTGCACATCGCCGGATTCGAAATTCACTTACGCAAAGGGCGTGCACAGCGCTCAAGATATTTCATTGGACTCACTTTGCTTTGCTCGACCTTATGTAATAACCCTACAAACGACTATGCACTATTATTCTTTTATAATAATATATATTTATATATACGTATGTATACGCCAGATCTAAGTGCTACTTCATACAAATTTCAAGGTACAGGAAGTATCTACACAAGTTAGTGTCTACCATATAATTTACGTGCTATCTTTCGGTAAGTAGTATTAATCTACGTATACGGAGTCTAGAATTACCGTAAGTTACAGCTCTATGATCTCCTGGTTAAATCAACGGCGCACATCTCTCTCGTTATTACCATACCGAACGATACAATGCAATAAATATAATAAGAAATAAATATATAGATTATAGTTCCAATGATCGGGCTATGGGGGACAATAATAATGTCTTAAACGTTAACATGGATATGCATTATCGATTACAGTTAATAATACTGGCAGCTTAAAGTACGACGTATGAATTACACTCAACCTAATTGGACGCAAAAGTAGAGAGTGCCTCGCGCATAATTCAAGTATTCCTGCGATCGAATTTAAATGCTTGCTTTAATTAGGAAACTAATTGTCTTTATCTGATCTAACAGTCAAAGGATTAAACAAGATTATCGGCCGTTCTAATGCCTGGCACTCGCTACCCGTCGTCGTAGGTTCCCTACGTCACTATTTAATATTAAGCAAAACCACTTGCTTTCACGCGTCGCGCAAAGTCTAACGTAAATTCGCTCACAACCTCTGCGAATCGAATCCCTAACTCGAAAAATTATTGTAACACCACGGACGTCTCATCATCGCGCCTGACCGACGCGTCGTTGCTGGCTACATAATGTAAATAGCAAGTTTAATTATTTATTATCGTTATCGCGCGCGGACAAAGGGAATTAAGTAACAGATCACAGGTGAAACTAGGCTATCTCTGTAACAAATTAATATCACATGAAAAAATATGTATCGGTTGCATCCTATCGCAAAAATCTCCTACGAATTATCTCCAAGGGACTGTCGGACGGATGACTCGGATGACGAGCCACCGATTATTCAGACTGGCTGACCACATTCGTCTTTCTCCACTTTTTTTTGCGTTCTCGACTTATCTCGATCGTTTCTCCGCAGAAACACGCATTGTTATTTTCTTTGTGAGATTACGCGATATCGTCGCCTCATCCAATAGTCGATCCAACTATCTTATCGGTTTAAACCTAATCACTTATCAACGACGACGGACAACTAAACCCTGACTAAATGATTATGATTAGAAGTAAAGTTTGGCATTTTACTCGCGCTCGCCGCGCGTACCAAGCTCACCACATCCTCGCCGCGCATATCTCTGGATATTAGGATTAGCTTTACTTTGGTTTCCAGCTCTCTCGCGCCACGTTTTGTAAACCTAAATACGTATCACCCTTCGCCTTTCTTACCTAAATTACCGTTTCGCAAAGCAGCGTTTCTGATCCCATCTTAAAAGTTTCTTTCGCGGAATCCGCACAGTTGCAGACTCGAGGAACAGTCGTTTGTAACAAGTTGGCGAACCAGTCGGGAAACATTCTCGAAAACAAGCTCGCGCGCGATATATATTTTTCAGAATTCCGTATTTTTGTTTCCCCCTCGTAAAAGTTATCGCAAGCGCTCGTCGAAATGATAATTCTGTTTTCAGGTAATATCGCTTCCCGACTCTTTGTTACGGTATTTCTGCAATACCGCGATGTCTATCTATACGTCGTGCCGCGATACATGCGTTTGCCTATGAGGTAGGTTTGCGCGATGTTTTGAGGAAGACGAAGCGTGTCCACTGATCGTTACGCTTTCGAGTCCGGATACTTACACCTGCCGATTTTAATTCTATTGTGCAATAAAAACTTGGACACAGGGCCGTAGGCATGCGAAAAAATGAAATCGTCGTCGAAAGGACGACGGTATAATAAATTGTGAGCATTGTTTCCTCACTCTGAGCGACCTGAGAGATTCTTCGTGTTTACTTGAACGCCGTGCGCGACGAATCGCACGGACACTCCCGCCCGATCGATCTTCATTCATTGTTTATACTTTTGTACTGTACTGTCGTACTCCCCCTCAATATTTCGCGGCGGAACGGTACTCCCCGTCAATGCCATTATTGTCCATTATCTCTGACGCTCTTCGTGCGGAATGGTTCGTTCGACCAGAATGCGAATTGATACTAAGGTTCACGCGGAAGTCAACCACGTGTACCGTGGACACTCTCGGAAGACTCCCTCTCGTTCGGAGAATAATATTCTCTACGGCGTAACATCCCGTCTGCTGTGTCAAACTCATTCATTGCGATCGCGCGCTTCGGCACTCGGAATAAAAAAAAAGCGGTTTATCAAAAGTGTTACTCAGCGCCTTAAATGGCGCTACGATAGATGCGCTACAAAAGCTGAACAATGACCGGATGCAGGAGACACATGTGCTCGGCACCGCGTATGGGAAGACGATTCACGCTGAAATGACGGACCATTTCTGGTATGTTGTCGAACGGCTTGCTGAACTGTCCCAGAATGTAAGCGTTCAGCTCTTCGTTCTTTTGAATGCGCATATGCATGAAACCGCGAGCGCTCCTAAAAAAAAATTACAGTGTTAGCGTAAATGTGAATAATTTTACTCTAAACATTTATAAAATTCAATAAATTTTAAACGATTAATTAACCGTAAATCATGAAAAATATTGTGCCACTTACTTCAGAGACAAAGAATAATCTTGTTTAGTCGATTCGCTGTTTCTCACCAGATAACTTCCTTCTTGATGGACTCGCAGAAGCCCCTCCGCCTCGATACGCGTAATGGAGCCGTGATACCATCTGGATGAAAAATCTCTGTTCAAGTATTGCGCATTAATTCGCCCGCGAAGTCTCAGCGAGAACATTTCTTGCAAAATTAAAAAATGAACAAATGTACAAACGAGAATGTAAGAGCGCGTAACGAGATTGTTAACAAGCTCATTAGCGACTCTCGAGCAAAGGTCGTGTGCAAAAAGGAAATAAATATCTCGTAGCGTAGATAAAAAGCAGCATTCAACACCATCCGTACACCCACCCTTGTCTCTCCAACGGAAGCTCCACATCGACCAAATCGGCCGATATTCGAGCGGTCGTGATCTCCAGCGGTAAGCCGAGACTCAGACCGCCGGGTTTCTTCAACGCCAATTGACCACCCAGGTTTCCGCCGCTTGTCCCCGCACCGGCGTCCAGATTCAGAGTCATCTTTGGACGCGCCAGACCGCCGCCTGAAATGAGTCACCCAACAGTTAGACGCATCGCAGCTCCCACTAGTAAACACCGATTATATACAGGCGTATACAGCGTTGCCGGCAATCTCCCGCGATGAGAGAGGGCTTTGCGAGGGCTTAATAATTGCTACAAATCAGAACTTGGGTGGAGACCTGATAAAGAGGGTTGCGGGAAATTGTTGTGGGATTGTTGACGTGTTTTTGTCATTACCCTTGTCTGATACAGTGCATTTGAAATTAGAATACAACTCAATAATGAGAAAATGATAAAAGTGAATATCTATAATATTCGCTAAAATAATACCGAGACAAATCGTTAAATAAATAATATTCGTATTAAATAAAATAATTTGCATATTTTAATCTGTCGGAAAAAAATAATGTCAAAAATATTGGAAACAGCTCTGAAAAGAAATTTTTATGTATCCCCGAAAGTGACAGACCACTCTGCCACGAAGCGCTTGTTCTTGCCCAATTCTTTTATAGTACTTTCCGCTTGATAATATCAGTGTCGAGGGTTCTCCCTAAACAATAATAATCGACGAAGGCCATTTCGCATCAAGGAAACGCCCCTGCACGCAACGTTAGGGCGCTAATTTCATTTGTTAGCGAAATCTCTTAGCGGTTGACTTCTCGGACGCGGTACATGACGCAGGTACAACAAAATTGCTGTGACAGGTGTAACGTCGAGTTAGCCTCTTTCGCGGCTTAACACGCTCGGAGGGTATGCCGGAGTGCTGCCGTCCGTCGCATACATATGCAAATGTGTAAGATGTCTCAGAAAAACCAGATGTATTAGAAGCGAAGTATCATTCAAGGTAAAAAAGTTTTAGCGAATTGAGCTTTAGGAAAACAATATCATATTACAGTTAATATTTCAGATAAATTTCATAAAAATTTTAATCGCAATTTTTAATACAAAAATTTTGTTCAATAAAAAGAATAATTTTCTCCGACAAATTTTTCGTTATGAAAAAGTATAATCGAATTTATTTACTTGTGTTCAGAAGCGGCATTCAATTCTGGCATTTTGAAACATCCTGCGCACACGCACATCAAATTACGTTGAGAGGAAGACCCGAAAGGCCGTGGCCATCTCTCACGCGCCATTTCTATTCAATTCCTCTGTGCGAAACACAGGTTTCGGGAATGGTTAAACATTAACGGCGGCCAGCGCTACTCGACGAGATTGCGTGCGTCTGTATTATTAAATTCAATCTGGCGATCGAGCAGATTTATCCGTTCAACTTTCTCCTTTTCCCCCCTTCTCGCCTACGACGACCGGCGCAAACGATTTTTCTCTTCTCTTTGTCTTTACCTGAATCTCCGGCTTCCGTACATTGCCCGTCCCACGAATAATCTCTCGTCCTGACACTCGTATCCTTATTCTCTCCCCTTTCGTCCTCAGACTGTTTTAATATCCGTCCCTGACGGAGATACGTCTCAATCAATTTCTTCGCGGGCTTCCCGGCCGCCGCGTGCTCCCGCGGGAAATGGGGGGAATGTCGGGTCGCTCAGTACCGGATCGCAGATAGATACGCGTCGAGGACACGAGGCGTAACCCCCACCGTCACTGATCGTCGTGTACAAGCTCGTAGCGATTCTTGTTTGCCCTAAGACCACCCCACTTCGTGTTTTGAAGGTATGCGGGGGGAAAAGAGCGTCGATGATTGCGCGGCGATGGAGAGTCGGAGAAGAGAGGAGTAGCGGACAAATCGAGGAAGAGAGGACGAAAAATATTCCTTCGACGCGAGACACGCGAGAGGCGTTGGCCGCAGACGTCTCCGGGGAAATTCCTGGTCACGAATAAAGCTTCGCGCGAAGGCGGAGGGCGCACGGGAAATCTCGCAAGCGTCGGCGGGCCGCGAGATGCATGTCGTATCGGCACGAACGGAGGACTTTTAATTCCCGGCGAAAATCAGGACATATTGGCGACGCGCGCGCGCTGCCGGATGTCGCGCCGGCGATCCCGAGACGGCACCACCGAATGACTCCGAGGCAGGAAGTCGTGCAATTTCCCTCTTCCCCGCGCGCCGACGATTCGTATTTATTGCTGGGCGGCGGAAGAGATCGAGGGTGGAGCACACGCCGCAGAGATTTACGACGCCGGCGAATTTACGGCCTCAGGGAGCCGGCATGTCAAGCGCGCCTCGAAAGGAGTCAATGGCGATTCCATTGAGCGGTAAGACGCTATTAAATAGAAGATGACATTTTCTGACGGAGCAGTGGCGACTGCTGCTGCGAACGACGTGGAAATGAGAAAAGAAACATTTTTGGAATAGAATATTTCAATGCTCATACAACAAATTATGGAATCAATATATTTGTATTATTCGCAGCGTCAATTCATCTTAGAAATGTAAGAACGCGTCAAAACTCTGGTTTCCCGCGTATAAATAAACCGTAAATGGAGGAGATTCCACGTGAATAACCAGTCACGATGATTTCGCAATCTTGAAGACTTGCGCCGCGTTTCCTAGCTTATATCGCATCGTTACGAAGCGGTTCCGTTCTTCCCCTCCACGAAGAACTTTCTGCAATGGTGCCGAAATGCCTGAACAACAGATGCGAGACGCCGTTGCCTAGATAGGCCTCGGAGATCTCCGCCAACAGATGTTGCAGTTACACGCCCTTGAGCTCTTCCAGCCCTCCGTCGACGGGCCCTTATCGACGCGATGGCAAACACTTCGAACCTGCTCGGAATGGTTGATACGTTCGCGATCCTCATGAAATATGAAGTACTGTAGGCGCACATCAGACGTTTCCATCGCACGATTCGGATAGTCCTTGTACAATTTGTCCGAGGATCACCGACACTTCGGTCTACGCTTCCAGTCGTGATAACATTCATTATTTACGAGATGGTTCGCTTCAGGGCTTTTATTTTTTTATTTGCTACCGGTAGAGAAGTTGTAACGAAGCCCGCTAATGTTAACTAGTTTTATACATTTATGATACTAGAGCTGTTCAGGAGTTATTTAATGCTGAGAAGATTGCAAAGTTAAAAGAATTATTAAAGTTATGATTATACATGCATGTTCTATGTAAAATTTTATAAATAAGTAGCAATCTAGTTTGTTTAAAAAATGAGATACAGCATTATATTTTATTTACAAACTATCATTTTTTAATTTGCCGAAAAGCGCGTAACTAAACTTGGCCGTTAAAAGCGTAATCATGAGATGAAATGTTAACGTTCTGAAGTAACAAGATCGGAAATTATTGAGAATTTCGATGGAAGTCTGGCGGATAATGGCATTATACGGTTGGTTATTGCCTACTTCTCCGTAACTTTTGATATCTGATCGCTTCTTTACTCCCGTTAACCGGCGGCGGATGTAATGACCCTAAAGGCGGATTTCATGGATGCTATTAGCGATCATTGCATTCTGAAGAAAAATAGATAGAATAATTGTTACATAAGAAAAGAACAAAAAGAAAGATTAAAAGCTTTGACTAGTAAAACAAATTAAATGCAAAGATAAGTAGAATAATTGTTACATAAAAAAACAAAAAAAAAAATTAGAAGCTTTAACCAGTGAAACAAATTAAATGCAAACATAAGAAATTAATAAACTCGTAAGAGCAATGCAGTTAGTGAAATTATTCCAAATAGCGAAATTAGATTAAGAAAAAATCGTAAAAAATAAGAATAAAAGTATAAATAGTATAAAGAAAATTAAGTGCAAGTGGTTCATTATCGCAATTGTCGTACATTTCGTCGAGTGTAACGAGTAAAGTGCATCGTTGCTCGTTAAAATTCGCCAATGGAAAACCCTAAAAATAGTCAGACCAACGGTGATTCTTGTCGTGGTAGCATTTTGGATCAGTACCAAATGGATAACAGCACTGTCGCGTCGCGTCGCGATGGTAGCATTAAGCAAGCGGTACGTGGCTAGATTTTTCAACCACCGAAGACTAAAACTACGTTTATCCGTTCGCGAAACATGTATAAAGTTCAGTGTGCACTACGAATGTTGCCTGTATACGCGTAAAATCCACTCGGCGGCTCGAGAATTTGGAAACACAGTGCACCGTAGTAGACACAATTTGCGAGCTCTTCCAAAATTTACGAGCTGTAGAAATTCATCGGGAAGAGAGATGCCAGTTGAAGATCTACATTTGTAGAGAGCTGCGAAAATTAGAACTCGTTGAGCTCCAACGATATTTTAATTTTGCTTCGTTAGCAAGCACAGTACGTTACAACAAAAATAACTTGTAATTAAAAAATTTTACACAATTATGTAAATGTGATAATAATTTAAGCACAAGCACAGTTCTTATTCTAACTGCAAGCTGCAACAAAAATAACTTGTAATTAAAAAATTTAATTTTGCACAATTATGTAAATGTAATAATAATTTAAACACAACGTCCTTATTATCTAACAAACTGTATAAAAATTATAATCATTTTTTCTTTTTTTTTACGAGACAGATACAAGATAAGCCCAAATCTACTTCTAGAACCAGGCGCCGCGGAACCGGGAGAGCAGAGGAGGCGACCGCCCTTCCTGAAATTTCTGTTTCAGGTATTTCATGATCGAAAATTTGAGTATCAAATATTTACATCGAGTTTTTTTCTGGGTTCTTTTTCTTTTTTCTTTTGACTATTACTCGTTCATTAGAAGTTACAACGTAGGTAAAATAACACGAGTAACAAAGAAAATTAAGCGCATTAAATTAATTAGAACAAAATATTTTTCATACATTTATACTACCCACTAACTGGCCACTAAGTGGCCTATTATTTGGTGTTTGAATGGAGTTACATACATATATATATTGTATATATATATATATATACATATTATGAATGTATTATGTATTCCCTTTATAAATTTTGCCCCCTCAGATGAAAAATACTTCCGCGGCGCCTGTCTAGAACTTGATAATGCGACAGCTTTAAAATGAAGTCCCTAAGCGTGTATATCTATGTAGTAGTTTGGCCAACTACCAATGGTCAATAGACCGAGCGCGCGATGTTGACTAAACGGT